CAAACTGGGCTGGTTCCACTGCTACCTCGCCTTTTCGATTATCGCAGATAAAATCTGGGATATCTGGACAAACTTGGGAGTTGGGCGGAAATCGGTAAGATATTCTGCCATGGCACTGCCCATGCTCTAAATGATATTTTTACAGACTCTTTGCTGGAGAGCGCCTACGTGGATGAAACAGAGAAGCTGATGGCGCCCTGCGACTTCATATGAGGTACATTTCTGTTCCATTTGCTCGTTCACCCCGTACACTCACCTTCAACGCAATCTCTACGCCCAGGCTCACTTTCCTCCCTCCTGGTACCTATCTCTACGTCAGTCCTGCTTTTTTAGCCATGGCTCCCAGGCTATTCGACCCAAACCCCGCCACATCGGGTTGATAGGGAGGGGTATGCTGACCATCGAAGGTGTGCCTATGCTCTTATCCTTTCTTCCCTCATCGTCGTGCTCACGCCAGAACCAGCCGCTGCGGTCTGCCACCTTCCTTGTGATCGTTACTTCGATCTACACCCGCTCCCCCACCATTTACATCGGCGCCCTCTCTCACATACCTCCACCTCTGCACTTGAGGGTATCCTGAGGTGAGGTGTGCTCTCGGACCCGATATTCAGCGTGCTAGGTGAAGTTCCGCGAGGAGTGGGTATGGGAGTTTACCTTTTCTCCTGCCATACTTTTGCTAACCACGTCGTCAGATCTATTCGAGCGGCCTTCCAGACTTCGAGAGGTGGGCATGGCGTTGGAGGGCTTTTATCGAGCGGGGCTAGCGACGCGATTGCCAGAAATGTTGTGGTACCCATGGTGTGTTACTGCTTTCCGTATCTTTGTTGACCTTGGGCTCAGGCTCGAACCAGCCTCCGCCTACACTTATTCCTTGCCCTCCAAGTTGGCTCCATGACCCAGCGCTCAGTCACAAACCCCACGTTTAATGCAATCGCCCACCTGTTCTGGCTTCTCAACTGCCCTGCATAAGTTGGATTGCTCCCTCGCCTCCCTTGCCGCCGTCCCCAGCTCCAAGTCGGCTCTGGATGCCTCCGAAATGCCTTCCCTGCCATTCTCAGTCTTTCGTCGTAGTGGTTGGAGTTAACGACTTGGTAGGCCTTGAGATGAGAGAACTTGAAAGGCGACCTCGGAATGACGATAGGCTGACGATGCAATCGCGTGAAGGGACTCAGTATCGGCATTAGCTCTAGGACCTGTGGTGCGTTACCAGTCCATGCATCACTTGGGCCACGGGCACACGCTTTACCCAGTATTTTTTCGGAATTCATCATTCGTTTCGTCGCCAAACTAAACCTCGATCTAGGCTCCTCCACCCAGCACCCAGCGTCTCAACACACCGCGCCGTTGAAGGGGGCATACGCTCGCAATATCGACGTGTCGAATCGAGGCTCGAGAACGGGCCTCCTCAATCGTGGCAGAAATGGGTATGATGGTTCACATAGTGGGGATGAACGGGGTTTAGGTGTCTTGGTCGCGCAGCGGCAAGCCGGCTCGGGAAATCAGGCAGGCATGAGTTCAGCTTTCTCGTTACACACCCATGCTCAACTGTTTTGTAGTCATTACAGGATAACTGTTGCACTGTGGAACTCGTGAGTCGGGCACTTGGGACTGAGGTAGTGAAATGGCAAGGGATGGATGGGTAGCCAGGTGTAGGCTTGGGGGCTCGCTATGCATTAATAGATGCCTCGTCTACTGGATACCCCTTGCGGACCGACCCTAAGTCGTGTGGCATTTCTCATTCCCTTTCGAGACAGACGATCAACATCTTGACATTTGCATGGGGGCCACTGGTTCTAAACGGGTTATATGCTTACATCACCTGTCCATCGAATTGCTGTGAGAAATTGACGCTGAACAGTCCTTGTCTCCTGCTCCCAGCCCCGGGTTTCCGCATTGCTTCTCATTCATGTTTTGGAGATTTCAGTCCAATGGGAAAGTGAGTGTCTTTTTTGCATCTTGAAATCGAAGAGAAAGGTAACGCCAACTTCCATAGCACATTTCTGATCAACAGGAGTAGGTTCTGACCACCTCCATCCCATATCGAGGAACTCTGAACACTCAGTTGGACTCTCCTGTAGCTGCAACCATCTGAAGGATCGGCTGAAAGCCATACTTCGTGACAAGGAACTCTACAAGCATCTCGTCAACTGTGACACGGCGGAAGCACAGAAACTGCTCGATACACTCCAATACGTGCATTTTCACATATTTTCTCCTTTCCCCGGCCATGCTTAGCTGTTCCAACTAGCTACTCGACACGGCCGAACTAGACTCACAACTACGCAAGGATTTTATTGTAGCGTTGCAGAGAATCTCGACGCACTCAGGACTCTACCCTGCGTGTTACGAATTGGACGGTATTCGACAGATCGGCCATTATCCTGTGACCGCTGGGGGGTTCGCAGACATATACAAAGGAAAGTTACGTTCCCAGGTGGTTTGTTTGAAGACAATACGTCTGTACGAGAAGAGTCAGATTGACGGTGTCTTAAAGGTGAGCTTTCCTCGTATTTCTCTTTCCTTGATATTAAAATCTGGTTTATTTAAAGAAACTGTCAAAAGAAGCTGTTATCTGGAGTCAACTATCACACCCGAACGTTCTGGCGATATACGGGCTCTTTCTCTTCCAGGGACGAGTCGCGATTGTCTCAACGTGGATGGAAAATGGGGATATCCACAATTATCTGAGAAGGAAACCTACGGCTAAACGACGAATGCTAGTAAGCCCGTGTCTGTCTTGTAATGCGATGAAACTGTGACAAGAGGCCACATAGGCATTGGACGTAGCAAATGGCCTCGTTTATTTGCACAGTCTAGGTATCATCCACGGAGATTTGAAGGGTGTATGTTGATAGTTCCCTAACAAGTTGTAGCTTATACTAACCAATTCAGCCCAATATTCTTGTTGATGATGGCGGTCAAGCACTCCTGGCCGACTTCGGTATCTCGACAGTATCGAATTCCGAGATTGTAGGATGGACGTCTCAAACGAAGGATACTTCTATGGGAGGTACAGCCCGGTGGCAGGCGCCCGAGCTTATCTCAGTGGAGGACAACGAAGCAGAAGGGGAAGAGAGAACGAGAAACACCAGAGCCAGCGATATCTATGCATGGGGATGTGTTTGCCTCGAGGTATGTTATTCCTCTGTCCCGGCCGCTAATTACTTATAAGTTCACTTTCCACAAGATTTTCACGGGAAAGATTCCCTTCGCAAATTTTCCCAATGACTACAACGTTATACATTATGTCCAATCTGGCGGTCGGCCACAACGTCCTTCGAAATCAAGTATGCCCTGGGTGTCTTGGGGCCTGACCGAGGAGATCTGGTCCTGTATGGATGGTTGTTGGAGTAGGGAACCGTCACAGCGGCCCACAGCCCCTTCAGTAGTTCAATTACTGAATATGGAACTACATGAAGACACACGGCTTAGCCCAGCCACAGCCAACCTTTCAGCGGCTGACTTCCGACGCCAGATGAGTAAATCCAGTAACTTGGTTACTCTCGATGCACTTGATGCCATCGTACAGAGGAGAGGTGGCAGCGAGGCTCCAATACCTCGCCCAGCCCCACCACCAAGTCGAATGACCCTCGATAGTGTCAGTACCCCTTCACCCCCAATGTCGCCCACCGCCGATGCCGACCTGCTCCAGGTAAAAGATACGGACTTCGAGCTCGTGCGGCCCAACTTCGGGCACCTGCAGGGTACTCGATCGTCTGAGGATTCGGGCGTGATGGGACATGATATGTCTGTCGATGCGCGCCTGGACGGGAGCTTCCTCCGCGCCGATAGCCCCTCGCTATCGCTCAACGCGCCTCGGTCGCCTACGGCCGTATCGGACGGGAACTCGAGCGTGTGGCAGCCACTCAAGTCATCGGGGCGCGGGGGCACGGATTCGGAGGTGTCCTCGGCGTCGAAGATGGATGCGCATCGCCAGCGGGAGTTGAAGTGGATGACGGTGCTGGGGTCGGTGCCGCCGGCGCAGTCGAGGAAGAGCAAGAAGGTCAAGAAGTTGATTTTTGATGGGGTGCCGGAGTCCATGAGGTATCTGGTGTGGTCGATGTTGACAGATGGGAAGGCGAGGTGTGTGCCTGGGGTTTATGCGCAGCTTGGAGGAAGGGGGAGGGTCGCGGCGTTGGCAGATGTGGAGCGGGATGTGCAAAGGTGCTTTGCTGATCAGCCGCAGCTGCAGAGCACGCAGGGACCTGTGCTATCGTTGCTCCAGGCGTATCTGACGGTGGTTCCGGATGTTCAATATGTCACGGGCTTGACTCTCATCACGGGCCACCTTCTCCTTCTTGCCCCTGAGGAAGACGCGTTCTGGATCTTCGTCTCCGTCATGGACACCCACATTCGCCCCTACTTCTCATCGTCATCGATGCAGATCGACGTCGCCGGTACTCTCTTCGGCCGCGCCATGGACAGCACAGATCCTACCACAGCCAAAAGACTATTTGGTGACTTCGGTATTGCTCCCAGCGCTGTCTGTCGGCCATGGTTCACGTCTCTTTTCGTTGGCTTCCTCCCCTCCGACCATCTGAACAGGGTCTGGGATATCTTCCTGTTCGAAGGTGTTCCTTTCTTATTCCGCGTCGCGATCGTACTAGTCTCGTGTTGCCGTCGTCAGATTTTCGAGGCTTCGTCGGCTGATGCTGCTTTGAGCGCTGTCCTTCGCCCTTCGCCTGAAATCCTTCCCACCAGCCCGGAGGCCCTCATCACGCTCGCTCTTGCCGTCAAACTCAAGGACGATGACCTTCGGAAGCAGCGCGTCAAGTTAGAGGCCCAAATAAAACACCAAACCCAAGCCCCGCGGACCATATCTACCCCAAGTTCAATCTCATTACCTCGAACCTAACTACATACTTCATTTCGTTTTCGTTATCTTTTCATTCTTCGTTTCTTTCATTATCACTTCTATACATCTTACGCGCTTGGAGTCGCGTAAGAACGATAGACAACGACACGGATGGAACGGGGCAAAAACCCATACCATGCACTAATTCCGGTACGGGGAATCGAACCCCAATCTGCCGCGAAAATTGGCTTAGGATGGCTGACAAGAAAGGCGGCAATGTTGGCCTTTACACCATACCAGAATCACGGCATGTATGCTGGAGGGCTGTGTAAGATCATATGTGGACATCCACAAGCTGGAGAGTAGGATATAAGCATGAGAAGGCAGCGCGAGAAACATGAGGCGTTGAAATTGGGATGAGGATTTGAGCATCGAAACGGTGGGATTGGTTCGTAAATCCCCAGTCCTCAGCAGACGGTTGAGTGTGGCGTGCCTCAGGGAGAAGCGCATCCAATACAGAGGGTGCAGAGTACAGTGTCTCGCTGCTAGGTGACACGGCTCAAAGGCACAAATACGTTGAACACTGTTACAATTGCTACAACTCTACCCTGCCTTTGGAGTGGCCTGTGTGTCTGAATGATGCAGGTCTGAGAAGTGAGGGGAGGACCGCACAGTCTGCAGACCAACATGTATGCACACTCGTCACTAGAATGAGTCTCTACCATCCAGCTCTGTGCGTTATCCAAGGTCAAAGTGCTGGACTCCAAAAGGCGAAGAAAAAACATTAAAGATGGCCCTCGACAATGCATATTCCAGCGTGGGGCTCGAACCCTCGTACAAACAGTGTATGCAATGCAAGGCGGTATGAGTCATGACAACTCGATCGCACTTCAGATGGAAGTCTTCCCTTGGACAAGTGAATGGCAAAGATAGGACCTAGATGCAGCTCTCATTCAACTCGGAATCGTAAAAAAGGCTGGACAAGAGCGGGTAAGTGTGAGTTACACCTGTCGTAACTCGTTTGGTGACACTAGAATATGGGATGAGGAAGAGATCTAGAGTCACTAGGCGGCATCGAGTTGTTGATCTGGAACTTCAAAGCTTGAAGCTTTAAGTTTGACGAGCCAACGCATGTAGGTGGGTATATACCAATCGACGATGCTGTAGAAGTAGAAAAAAGAAAGACAAAAGTGGAGGCGCAATCACGGATAATTCCGGTACGAGGAATCGGACCCCAAACTGCCGCGCTCCTAATCTTCAGAGGATATGAAAGGCGGCAATGTTAGCTGTTACATCTACCGGAGTCGTTTCGCATTGTGGTATGTGGAGGACGCTAGACAGGGATGAACAAAAAACCCGAAGTCAAACCCAGGCTGGTGTGGGGAGTCGAACCCTCGTGCAGGTGTCCATTATGCAGTGAATGGATGAGAGAGGCGGCGGTGCGAATGGGTGGGAAGCTGCTCTTTTGGAGTTCACTGAGTGACAAGGGTAATTATGATGGTTAGGACTTGGAATCGTAGATGTGGATTTCGTTTCAGGCTTGGTAGAACGTGCCAGAGAAGGTAGCAGCAGCAGACTCACCGGAAGAAGGATGATAGAGACTCCAGCACAGGGATAGCGAAGCAAAAGTTTGATATTATATCACCTTGATATTTCCGGTACGGGGAATCGAACCCCGAGCTGCCGCGTTCAATATTAATATGAAAGGCGGCAATGTTAGCCGTTACACCATACCGGAGCATACTTTTTCACCCTCCCATTTTCCATGAACCGTGGGCACCATTCCATCACAAGCGCCCACGATAAGGCTTATCTCCGAGCCGCGGGAACAACTCGACATGTAGAATTGATGGGATGGGAATAACACGTGGTTTGGATTTGGGTCGCCCTTGTTCTTCAGCGAGGACGACGACGACAACGACGACGGCGTTTGGCTACTTTTTCTTCGCTCTGCACGGCCTGCCTACCTCCTGTTCTATTCTCGTCAGCTCGACGGCCTCTTTCACTCCTCTTCTTTGTCTTTGTTCTTTGTTCTACTTCCTCGCCTGAGCCGAACCGACGAGCACCCGACCTTGTTGGATCGGATCTCCGCGCCCTTCTGTAGGCTCCAGAGAGGCGCGAGGCACCTTCAAACGCGACCTGTGAGTGCCCATGAACGTGTTTGATCCCATAGATGGCGATTGTCGGACTTATTTGGTATTTCGTTCAGGGTACGACCACACACCTATTGCTCCCTATGCCGCCTATCCGGGACCACCACGACCCGGCCTTCGAGGAGGAAAACGAGTTCGTTGACGACGATGGTGAGTTTCCGAATGAACATAGAAGGGAAAGCTGATGGAGAACAATAAACAGATATGCCCCAGCTCGTCGAGCCGCCCTCAAACATGACCTACACCTTCTTCGCCGAAATGACGCCTCTCTCCTTCTCCCACGACCCCTCCTCTTCCCTTTCTCCCTTTCCCCCTTCCTCCTCTTCCTCCTTTCCCCCCTCCACGGACCTCTCGCTCGTGCCCTACCCCCCAGACGAAGAGCAAGAGCAAGACTTTGAATACCCCAAACGCTCCTCGCACGGAAAACGGCGCGATGCGTCATACATCCCGCGGCCCCCAAATGCGTTCATACTCTTCAGGAGCTCGTTTATAAGAGAACAGCAGGTCACGGGCAAGGTAGAGGGGAATCATAGTAATTTGAGCAAGATTATCGGTGGGTCCTGTCTTCTCGCTTCTTCCTTGCGTCGTTCTTCGTTCGTCTATCTTCGTTCTTGCTACTTTCTTTGTACCTTTCTTTCGCTTGAACCCTCGTGTTTTGAGTGCCCTTTATACCTTGCGAGGCGGGTACCCCCATTCGAACCCCCGCTTTAGCTCGGGATCACGGAGGGTTTCAACCCCCCCGCTCGATCTGGAGATCTACGTAGGCCCACACGCGCCTCTCCATGGTGCTCCATTCATTTTTTCGTCTCGCCTAACGTTTCTTACGTACCCCTTTCATTCTTTTTGTTTTCGTCTACCGTATATCGCATCCTCATCCTCACTTCCCTTCAAGTCGTTTGAAGCGATTGTCTCCTTCTTTCGTCTCCCTCTACTCGATGCTACCACGTTCCCTTTTCCCCTACTTCCATGATGTACGTATCGTCTCCTTTACTATTCCCGCCCTCCTTTCCTCGCTTGTCTTCCCTTCCCTATTGTCTCGTGTCGTCATCGTTCCCCTTACCTCTCCACCCTCCACCATGCTTCCGCCTATCCTCTCTATCTTTTCTTTTTCCCACACCGTTCTAACTCCCCCTCACTAATCATCTAGGAATGTACTGGAAAGCCCTCCCCCCCTCCGAACGTTCCTCCTGGGAAGCCAAAGCCCGCCAGGCCCAGCTCGAGCACCGCCGCCGCTACCCCGACTGGCGCTTCCGCCCGGGGACGAACGCAAGTGCCACTGCGAAGATGCCGAGGACCAGGAAGAAGCGGGTGGGTGTTGGGGGGGCGAAGGAACCGCCGGATGATCCGGGCGAGGAGGGAGAGGATAAAGATAAAGATAAGGATAGTGAGGAGGACGATGCGGAGGGGGACGAGGACTCGGAGTACGAGGAGCCCAAGCCGAAGAGGGGAAGGGGGAAGGGTAAAGCTACACCCCGTGCCCCCAAAAACAGAGGTGGGCGTGCACGGAAGAGGGGCTTCGGACAAAGAATGACTATGGGCGAGGAGGATGCGGAGAAAGAGGAACCACGCACGAAGGAGAGGGAGCAGGAGAGGATAGCGAAGATTGCGGGGCTGCTCGTGCAGGGGAAGAAGGGGGTTGAGCTTGAGGAGGCTGTTGAGCGGTGGGAGAGGGGGGAGGTTTCGAGCCCGAGTGGGAGCAGCGACGATGCGGATACGGAGAAAGGCAAAAGCAACAGCAAGACGCAGCTGCTCGCGCTCACTACATGGGACCACGAGGAGTCCTCGCGTTCTTCCCTACGCAGCTTGGCGTCGGCTCTACGTCCCCGGGACACCGACGACGCGGGATCTAGCAATACTACGACCGACTGGGAGCACGGGGAGCCCTCCCGCCATGACATCACCGCCCGAGCCCGAGGCGCAATCCCCTGGGCTAGCACTCCTTCTCTAAGCTCCGTCACTCACGACGGCGCTGCCAATCCCAACCCGCTCGCCCACGGAGAGACCACCACCCACGGACGAGACGCGAACCCCTGGACCAGCACCTCCTCCCTCTCCTCCCTCTCCTCTTCCTCCCTCCCCAAACCCCCGCACCCCCCACAGCCCCTCATAATAACCGTAGCCCGCGCACCCCCCTCGCCCTCCTCGAGCCCCCACACCCCCTCCAGTTTCTCATTTTCGCGTTCCTCGCCTGGGCCCGCATATCCCACGCCGACACCACCTTTGTCGCCCGAGATGGCGCAAAGCACACAGCAGCAGCAGGGGCACGGGCAGGGGGTGAAGCGGTCGCTTTCGGCGCCCGCGCCGGAGCGGGTTGGTGGGAGGAGGGGGGCACGGGGTGTGCCGGTGTCGAGTGTGTCGTTGCCATTGCCGTTGAGGAATGAGGGAGGATATGTGGGTGAGGGTGTGGGGAGGAAGAAGCACCGCTCCTCAATGTCTGTCTCCGTCCCAGGTCCTGGCTCCGGCTCGGCGCAGAACGACGATAGTGGTAATAGGGCGATGCAGATGCAGATGCAGAGGCGGGATACGGTGTCCTTCCCGCTCACGCTCACCCGCACACGGAGCTACGCCGGTCCCGGCTCCCCAGGATCCAATGCGCAAGGACAAGGGCAAGGACAAGGGCATCTACAGAGGCGACAGTCGCTGGCTGTACCCAACACGTACGCAGCGGAGGCGCAGCACCTCGGGTCCCTCATCTCAAGCGCGAGGGAGGAAGAGTACGTGTCCTCGCCGACCTCGGTGCCGCTGAACTATTATTACTCCCTGCCGTCCGAGATGACGGCGACGTGGCGGCAGGGGGGATGGTGGCCCTCGCATTCGCAGTCCCAGGTTACCGCGACCTCCACAGCTTCGGGGTCGAGATCGGGGGCGAATCAGGAGGAGGGGTACGAGCCGGCTAGGGAGGGATCATTCGAACAGGAGGGGCAGTATGAGTATCCGCTGGGGTATTCGACGGGGGAGAGGGGGTATGTTGGGGTTTATGGCGGATTGGGGAGGGGGTATCTTGAAGTTCGTTTCTCCTTCCCCTTTCTTTCTTCTCGCTGACTAACGTCTATATAGCACTTTCCCCATGCCCCGCCAGAGATTACAGAAGATCGATACGTCCCCCAACCACAGACCCAGGCAAATGAAGACGATAACGGGCAGCAGCAGTGGCCCCAACAAGTACAGGCGGATGCTCAGACTGGAGGGCAGGTGTTTCACCCCCTCCCGCCGTCTAGCTTCTCGAGTTTGATGGGGTGGGATGGACGGTGTGCGGACGGCTCGAGTAGCTCTTCGTCTTTGTCTAACTCCGGCGCTGCTGGAGGATCGGGAGGAGGTGGAGGAGGACCAGGAGTGGGAGTGGGACAGTGGTATGGATGGGGGGCGATGCAGGACGTTGGCCTTGGAGGAGGAGGCGAGGATGGGCCGTGGGAGCGCGGACTTGGTCCTGGCGGCGGCGGGGTGTGGACTCAATGACGAAGAAGATACTGCTCCATGAAGGACCGGGGGCCTGATATTCCGACGACGATAAAGTTGGTCGGTGGATAATAATATGGAGACGATGAAGGTGCGACGATGATGGATAACTCGCGATGAAGATGCGACACAACTACAACTACGACCACGACACCTCCCTCCTCCCTTGCCTCAACGGTACTGGGGGCCTAAAAATACCGCAGAAGCGGTTTGTACCATTATCTATCGCGGGCCCGGCTTTGGGCTCGCGAGGTTCTTTTTCTTTTGTTGAAACACTGCTCCTCTCTTCGATAATTTGATTTTATGATCACGACACTTACGATACCTCCCTCTCTTCTCCCTCATGTCCGGATTTACTGCTCAGGTTCAACGTGACATTTCCTGTGTTTGCTATTTACTCATACGTTCGGCACACCTCTTCGTTCCCGTGCCCGACTAGACCTCTTTATCTCAAATTCATCTGTACCATGCCCCACTCATCTCATCCTCGTTTAACCTGTTACTTATATCTTGTGGTGTATATCTATGGCGAAAAGCTCCCCACTCTTGGCATTTGTACCATATCTATTACATCTATCTCTCCTTTCCTCAGTATATGAGTTTTGTATCAAATTTTATCGTGGCTCCCTTTCGTCTTTGTGAGGCGGTTTCTGCGAGGTTGTAAAATGGGTCGAGGTGAGCCTTTTTTTTTACGTTCCTCCGCATCCCATGTTTTTAGACGCCACATTAACCTCGAAGATTTCACAACTCCACCCCAGCTTCTCAGCAACTCAATGGCACCAACAACATCCTTAGTCCTATATAGTCACTATTCTGCCCGGGAACACTGGGCTTTCTATGACGCAGTCAAGAAAGAGTCGACCGACACGCTGGATAAAGTCTGCAGAGATAGAAGAATGTAATTGCACTACATCTTTGGTCGAGACGCTATTCCGACCTCGTGCACTACAAGCCAAAGAGAAATCGCGCGCGGCGAAGAAAGAAACCTCTTCTCTTCATGGGGTCGCCGTTCGCGTTACGCGTGATGTAAAGATATGGTCGTAACCATCCAGCAAGTCCAGTTCCACGTTTGATGTCCAAAACACCCATTACTTAAAAGTGACACTATTAGGTACCATAGACGCGCTGA